GGGGGGTGGGGGCGGGTTTCTGGCGCTGAAGGGAGGCGGCAGCCGCCACCCACGGCAGAGGGCGCTCAGGGGTCCATTTGCCAGGGACCCTGCTGGCCTGCACCCTGGCCAGCAGCCACGGAGGCTGCCTGCCCCACCCCGACCCGGGCAGGCCCAGCTGTGACAGGGTGCGGGGTCCCCACAGTTACGATGACGTGGACACGACTTGGGGAGACGCGGAACACGCTGGGGCACCACAGACGGGAGGGGCGGGGCAGGTGTGACAGACTGAAACGGGATGCGTCCAGGGGCTGGGCCCCCTACAGGACCCCGAACAGGGAGGTCACGGCACGTTCTAGACTCGACGCTGAGGGCCACAGGCGTGCGTGCGGGGGCGGGGCGGGGGCGGGACAGACGCCGGGTCGCCTCTTACCCTTCTTCTTCCGGACGGAGGCTTGCAAACAGAAAGGGGGTGTGAGTCCCGCGGCGGCGGCCGACTGCCCACCGCGCGCACCCCTGGCTCTGGGGCGCGCGCGGGTGGGCAGGGATGCGCTGCCTACGCTCTCCTGGGACCTGCCGGCAGGTGGCCGGCCTTTTCTGACTCGGTCTCTGGCGAAGCTGCTTCCCGCGGGGACACGGGGCTTTCCTCTCCCCCAGCACCCGCCCCCCCAAACTGGCCGCATGAGCCGAGGCAGCTCTTCGGAAGGACCTTCGCAGCGCCCCGAGCTGCGCCCCCTTAAAGGTGACCTGCCCGCGGGTCCTGCCGGGGGGAGCCCGCCACAGGCGCCTTGGAGGAGCCCGCGTGGCACGTGCTGCCTGGCTTTAGGGAAGCACGGGTGGTGATTCACACTGTCATCCCTGTCGGGGGCTGGGCCAGGCCTGGGGTTCAGGGGGCGTTTCCTGGAGAGTCTTGTTTGGACAAAGTGTGGGCAAGGAGGGGCCAGAGGAAGGGGGCTCTGGGCGAACTCGTGGCTCTGGGTGGAGGTGGGCGGCCCCACAGCAGTGCTGCCCTTTCCTAGAAGACCTAGGCCTCCAGCTGAGCTGCAGATCCTAGACCCAGGGCACGGTGACAGGTGAGGGGGCCCTCGCTGGGAGACGGCCCGGGCCTGGGGAGGGCAGAGTGTGGGAGACCCTCCCAAAGGAGCTGCAAGGGAGAAGGGGCTGCTCTGTACTTTTGTGGAGGGAAGGGCCAAAGGAAAGGGTCTCCCCGTGAAGGCTGGGACCAGGTGGCAGCCACAGCAAGTGAGGATGCTCGGACTCCCAGCCCCTGGACCAGCTGGGCCTGACGATTCGTTTGTTTTGTGCCCCCGTAACCTGCCCTGGGCAGAGCTCACAGATGCTGCCCCTCCCTGCCCACCGAGCCCTCTCAGCGGAGTAAGCCGTCAGTCCACTCGCCCACTCCCGTGTGGTCAGAGCAACGTCCTCCTGGAGGTGTCCCTGGGCGCCATGGTGACACCCCAGTGTGACGTTTCACCAGCACCCGGAGTCACCCCTCTTCATGAGCCACATGGCCACTAGACCCAGGGCTCACGTTGCTCTGCACATCCTTCCCCAGGCCCTGTGGTGGGGTCCAATGGCCACAGCCCTCTCTGTCCTTTGCAGTCCTTTCAAGAAGGCACCAGGAACTCCCTCCACTTGGCCTGCAGCCCACCAGGCCCGCCAACCCCTCTGCTATCTATGCCAGACGCCAGGGCATGACAACGAGAACCCAATGGGCTGCAGGGGACCTGCCCAGGGAACACCATATCGTGGGTGCGGCTGAGCCGGGGGGCCCCGTGGGCGGGGGGGGGGGGGGCTGCTTGGGGGCGGGGCCACAGTGGGGCAGCTTACCTTTATCCACTAGTGAGAGGCCCAAAAATTCAAAACAAAACAATGTTAGACGAACCAAAAGGAGGTTAGGCGAAACTACTAACCACCCCCGAAGCCGGCAGGGCCCCAGCGGGCCAGCGTGGGAGCGCCGCGCACTGGGGCGTTTCCTGACCCCTCTCTGGGTGTCGGGGCCAGGAGAGGGGTGAGCGAGCAAGCAGAGGGCCATGCAGAGGCTGGGGCTTCGCCGGGGCCAGCCCGCCGGCGTGCTGGGTGCTGGCGACGGCGCAGGGCTGGGGCGGCCCGGACGTGGCACTCACCGAGCTCCTCCAGCTCCGAGGTCATGGACTTGGAGCGCAGCGTGAGGGCCGTGGTCGGGGCGCGCTTCGGGGGCGGAGGAGCTTGGGGGGGCAGACGGGAGGGAGGGAGGTGAGAGACGGGCCCCAGTGCCGCCGCCCCCTGCCCCTTCCAGAACAGACGGCAGGTGGGGCCCCTGGACCTGCTGGGAAGGCCGAGATGGGGCCTCCCCCAGGGTGGGGAAGCTGGCAGTGGTCGCGGCAGTGCTGAGATACCGGAGGTCCCGACGTGCTCCTCCAGTCTCTTTCCTGCCGGGGAGTGGCTCTGGCCTGCTCCCGGCGCCCCTCCGCAGGCCTTGCTCAGCCCCAGTGTCCCCCAGCTGTGACCTCCCTTGGGAAGGAGGGTGGGCCCGAGGACCTCTCCGTTCCATGGGCCCAGGCTGCGTGCCATCACAGTGACCGATGCAGGTCAGTTTTGGAGCGGGAGCCCCCAGGCCCCTGCCTGCTGAGCACAGCCCTGGCCTGAGGCCACCCGCTACTCCCTGTGGGCAAGCCCGAGTCCCCTCCTAACCTCCCTTTCTGACTTGTTTCCTACTCTGGGGCAGGGGGAACGGCCCCCCCCCCCCTCCCCGCCCCCGCTCAGCGGCAGGAGATGGGGCACACCTCGCAAGTGCCTGAGCACAGGGGGATGGGGGGGAAAGAGCCCTGCCCCCCACCCATCCTTCGGGCAGGGCTGGCGGCTGGGAGGGCACCTTTCTTCCTGGCCGTGTCGTCTGGGTCGAGATTCCTGGTCACTGTGACCACCTTGAGGACGAGGTGATTCCCTCCCTGGCGGATCATGTTCACCACCTGCCGGTGGCCGACCTTCACGACATTCTCGTTGTTAACCTGTGGGGAGAGAGGGCAGGGCGGTGAGCTAACGGGATCCCAGTGCCCGGCTGGAGCGGGGCACACGTGGGCAGGCCCTGCGGGAGCGAAGGTGCCTTCGGGGAAACCGAGCAGAAGCCGTGCGGCCTGGAGGGTGAGGCCGGGCCTCCTGCAGCCCAGAGCTGGTCACCGGCCGGGGCCGCTTTCCGGGAGTGAACGTCCCTGCGGGCTGCCGCGAGGAAGGCGGACCGGGCTCGGAGCGGGGAGAGCCTCCCTTGATGGCCCAGCCCCCATCCCCTCCCAGGTGGGCCCTGGCACCTGCTGTCCGGACCCCAGCTCCTGGTGTGAGGGCCGGGCACGGAGGGCGGCACAGAGAGCGAACCCACAGGAGGTGGGGTCCATGGCGGCTCCAAGCGCTGTCTTCGAGGAAAGAAAACCGCCCTAATGGTTGAGCACTGATAAGCACCTGAAACTCTGCCCAGGCTTGCGATCGCCAGTCCGCGTTTTGCTGCACTTCTTTCTCCTGCTGTGGGTCCCTTAAAAACTGTCAGAGTTCAGTGCAGCCACAAACAGAAGAGTCAGCAAGGTTTGGTGAATCTTCACAAATCCAGCGCCCCATGTAACCAGGCCCCAGCGGACGCACCAGGTGCCCGGCCCTGACGACCACGACCCAGGCGAGCGGGTCTGATCACCTCTGCGGGCCTCTTCCAGGCCAGCTCAGTCTGCTTCACCCCGGCTCTCCCGGGGCCCGGGAACCCCTTCAGGCCTGGACGGGCAAACCAGACAGCTGGCAACCGGGGGAGGGCAGTTCAGGAGGGGGAGATGTGCCTGATTCCGGGCAGCAGCCGCAGTCTCTGCAGTGACTCCTAGCGGCTCTCCTTTTCACTGAGTTTTCTCAAGAGTGTGATTAGGGAGCCAGATGAATTCCGGAAGTAAAGAAGTTCGGTGGAGGGAGAGGGCGGTGGAGAGTTGGGCCAGGAGAGGGGACGGCTGTCCCCGAGCTTGCCAGGGTGGAAGCAACGGGCCCAAGCTCAGCCAGACCGCAGGTACCCGGGACACGCCATCCGAGGCACACGGGTCTCCCTCCCTTTGCGTCTCTCCTCCCACAAGTGCGCTGAGACAGCGGTGCTCATTCATTCATTCCAGCCACCACTCTTGCTCTGAGGGCCCACTCAATCCAGGAGGTACAGGGGGTGGACGGTCCGTCCCCACCCTCCGGGGGCTTACATTCTCATGGGGGAGTCGGACGGCACGGAAGTCAACGATCAAATGTCATCTCAGCTGTGCTGAGTGCCACCAGAGAAAGCAGGGCCGGCAAGAGAGAGGGGCAGGCGCTGTGCACAGGCATTGGGCTGCGGTGATGGGGCACCGGACAGCCGGCGCAGCCAGGGCCGAGCGCTGAGGCGAGCACGAGCCTGGCACGTTCGTGGGACAGCAAGATGGCCAGGGGGCCGGAGCAGTGTGAACCCAGCGGGGAGGAGGGGATAGAAGAAGAGCCTGGGTTCTGAGAGGCCCAAGGCCCAATCAGCGGGGCCTTGAGTGCCAGCTGAGACCTTAGGTTTTGAGCGTGAGAGGGATGCGGCAGATTGACATTTCAGGGGCGTCAGTCACTCGGGATGGGAGGAGGGTGGTGGGGCAGAAGCAGAGAGGGCAGAACCCGGGCTGGGAGCGCGGGCTGCTTGGACCGGAGGAGTGGGGAGACCCGGTCAGGTCTGGAACCACGGGACGCGGCGACGTGGGTTGTGTGGGACGGAGCTGCCCGAGGCCCTGGTGAGATGCCCGCAGCACAGACGGCCCCCGGCCGCCCACCTGTCAGGCCTCGGCGGCCAGCCCGGTGCGAGGAGGGCGGACCAAGAGGAGGACCGCATCCGGCCGCCGACGGGCGGGCCCCTGCGCTATTCGTGACGGGTCAGTGCAGGCATGGGGAGGGGCTCAAAGACCCCCCCCCAAGGACGAGCGCGACACCTGCTCCAGGCGGAAGGAGCAGCTTCTCAAGCCCACAGTGGGTAGCAGCCCCTGCCACGGAGCCCACCCTGACCGTGGGCCCCTCGTGCTCTTCTTTCCCCCCGTTCATCTCCCCTCAGCCACACCCAACTTAAGTCCACACGCTGCTTTGCAAGTAAAGAAGCTCTGGATGAAGTCCGGCCCCCAGAGCAATACGCACACCGAGGCCAGAGCTGCGGCTGCGTGGGCTTCTGTGGGTCAGCTGCTGCTGCACAGGTGGCACTTCAGCAGCGACAGCGTGGAGGTGTCAGGTGGCTGTGCTGTGATGCATATGAATGCCCTCTTCCGAGAAGGCACAGAAACACCAGCAGCACAGTTCAACCTGGAATCAGTAAAAAGCCCGTGACCAGCGAGGCGGGATGGGAACGTGCATCTCCATCCCCCTTCCAGCGCAGAGGGACAGAGAGCAAGAGCAAAGAGCAGAGCTGCACTTTAGTTTCCCAGCCTTTTAACAAACAAACTGGAACTTCAGTTTAACCAGAACGGGACTGTGGAGCCAGCTACCATCCCTTAAAGCAGATGCTCCCAATTGCTCATGTGGTGACAGGAACCTCAGAGACTGAGTAAGTGAAATGCTTGCTGTTTCCTTAATTGCCCACTGAACTTTCATGGTCCCTCAAAAACCAAAACCCAAAACCCAAAACCCAAAACCCAAAAACAAACACACACACACACACACACACACACACACACACACACACACCCACACACACTGGGCCTACAATTCTGGCATGCTGCCACCAGGAGGTGTGTGCCTTAATCAGCCACCACATATAAGCCAAGTCCTGAAGATTACAGCCTTGGAGCAGATCCAGTCACCTGTAAGGGAGAGTGCCATTCTCTCCGTCGCATCATTCTTACATACAGACATGGTGCGATTTATGCAGGGAGTAAAGCATGGCCACATCCTGGCAGAGGGCAAGAATACCACCCTGGCCACCACCTGGGTTCAGGGAACTTCTGCCTCCTTTACACACTTTCGTATCTTCCTAAATAATTCTCTGATTCCACCTAATGTTACTTGAAATATCAAGCTTGTATGTGCACATACATAGTTTAAAGAGGCAGAATTCTACAAGGCTTGTTACAAAGCCAACAGGACCTCACCACCTAGCCCCACTTCTCATTCCCAAAGCCTTCAACCAATTCTTTCTATATCCATCACTGCATCTCTCACCATGCTGCTACTTGATGCTTTAATTTTAGGTATCATCTGCTGACACACCACTACTGAAAATGGTGATCTAGCTCAGCATTCTCAGCTGTGGCACTACTGCAGTTTTGGACCAATCAACTCTTTGTTCGGCTGTGCATTGCAGGATGTTTAGCAGCATCCCTGCGTTCTACCTACCAGGTCCAGCAATCCACTCCCCCGCAAAGTGACAACCAGGAATGTCTCTAGCCATTGCCAGTTGTCCTCTGGGAGGTCGAAGTCACCCTCAGCTGAGGCTGAGAACTACGAATTGAGCTCTTTTCCTTCATCCCCTGTACCACCAGTTTTCCAGGACTTCCCTCCTCAGGCGATAGTTACATAGCAGTTTTAACCAGATCAACATTCAGGGTTTCCGTCATGACTATCTAACATCTGTCTACAGGTAAACCACACGGTATACTATGATTACGTTGCCTTTTCCAGTGCGTTTTGTTTTCCCTGGAGTGAAGTGATTCTCTGGTGTTTTCAGACTGGTTTAATTTTCTGTGTACTTAACAGTAATTGAAGTCCAAACACTTCCTTAACTATGTAAATCTGTTTTCAAAATCTTCAGGTACACTGGATGTCTTGTTAAGTTCGTCTTCTTGGACAAATCACTCACGAAGGCTTCTCTAACAGTGTGGGTTCAGTGTTCTCTTGGCCCGTGTCCCCCCCCATTACTGTCAACTCTCACAGGATTCCTTCTGATTCTGTCTTGTGTTGGATCTTCTGAACCCTAGACCAGAGGTATGTATTTCTTTGATTCAAAAGCTCATTTTTGGTAGAGGACCTTCTCCAGTAGTCTTCCAATAAAAGGAGTTTGGGAGGTGATTTTTTTCCGACATTGTCTATTTGAAAACGGCTTTACCTGCACACTTAAAGAGCAGTTTGCCTGGGTATAAAATGTGAGGTTGGAGGGTAGGTAAAAGGTAAAGTAAGCTCCTAAGACTAACTCTTCTGCAGGTAACAACTGTAAAGTCTGGACAGAATATATAGTCCCTCATCCTCCAACCCAAACCAACAAAAACCGTTCCCTGAAAGCTCTGGAACATGCACATAGGTGGGCAGATTTTGGGTGGGAGTGGAAAATCGGAAGCTTTGGGCCATGGACACAGAGTGGTGTGTTTGAGCCACCTGATGCTCTGGTGGAAACCGCAGCCTTTCTGGTTTGAGGAATCAGAGGACAGGGCCCTTTGTGTCCACAGCTGCCAAAGTGAGGGGGCAGTTCCAGAGAGGAGAGAGCCAGAGAGGAGGAGTTCCGTGTTCTGTGTGTAAACTCAACACAAACAAGTCTGTGGTTGACATCTGAACTACGTGTGCACAGGGCCAACTCAAAATAGCTTGCAGATAAGGCTAAAACCCCCGAACTGATAGATATTTGAGCAGCTGCCACAGTAGGCTAGACAGTTTGCAGCTTGAGTCTAACCAAGGTAGTTGTCAACTAAAACAAAAACATGGGCACTCAAGCAAGAAGTGTAAGAGAATCTAGAGTTGCCACAGCATAACATTCACAATATTCGGGATACAATACAAACTTACCTGATGAATCCACAGGTGACCAAGGTGTTGGAATTATTAGACGAGGACTCTAAAGCAGCTGTTGTAACAATACTCAACTGGGTAAAAGAAAATATACTCTTAATGCATGAAAAATAGGAAATCTCAGGAAAGGGAAAAAAAAAAAACCAAACATGAGAAATGTTTGTTACAGCTAAAAAAACACAGTATCTGAAATTTTAAAAAGCACTGGATGGGTTTAATAGCAGAATGGATATGACAGCGCCAACAGTGAACTTGAGTACAGAAACAGGACTTACCCAATATG